AAGCATTCTTCCAGGTCAATTCAAGAATAGTTTGATGATGATAAATCTTCCTAATATTCACATTACAGTTATGACCCGATCCTGTCAATCTCTCTGCGCATCAGACTGTTATTTTTCAATAATTCCACATAATTGTAATTTCATACCTTCCTCCTTCAAGATGAATGTTTAAGATACACATACTTTGCTAGCTGACAAAATGGGGTCATTGCTGTATAATTATTCTCTTTTTGCAGCCTTCATTCAGACTGGATCTATTGATTTAAATTATTTGAGTTTTCTTCCAGCTCTTTGATGACGGAACATCACTAGATTTATACTGTAATGATTCACTCTTACAGCTTTCACCCTGGTTTTGTCTGTTGATTTGATTTGTTTGAATTGGTTTTCAGCTCTTTGGTGTTGGCAGTCGCGGGCGATCAATTTTGCTCATGCTCATGCTCTAAGTTCATTTTCAGCATTTCGATGATGGAACGTCTTCAGATTTATATTATAATGGGGCTTATTACGGATGTCACATCACGGTGAAAAGTTGTCACTTGTCGTCACGGTGAAGTGATTCCCATTTGATTTGTACGGTAATCACGGCTCTTATTCTGAGTATCACTTTCTTATCACCGTGTAGTGACACCCGTAATAAGGCCCAATGATACACCATTTGGTTTTGGCTTCGGGCAAATCCAAGTATAATGCATGATAACACTGATTCATTTAAAACCATGGTCGCATCACTTATCAAGGTGAATCCTGATCCAACGAACCCAACTTACTAACAAAATCTCCTTTTCTGTGTCTTTTGTTGGAAATTTCAGGGTTACATCTTCTTTATTGGGAGCTGAGGAGACATAGAGCTGCATCATATTGTATGTAAAATAATTATTATTTTCATTGCGGAATACCAGTTTTTTTATCCACATAAATGTATTTTCATTATTACGTATTTTAATGTTCTGCTATATCTCATTTCTCCATTACATATGTTTACTATATATATAAATAAATACTGGGTTGGGAGGGAGCATCAGGGTATCATTTGACCTGAAACTGGACGATTGGAGTGGTATGACAACCGGAGTCTAGGAGGGAATAAACACTATCATTTTCTTTATCCTACCGATTCGATTGTGATGGTGTGAATTCTACTCCAACAGTTTCAGTGAGATTGACGCGCCCTTCTTAACAAACCATCCTGTAGGAAGCTTAATAAGTATTGCGAATTGCGTTATTCGATTTGTTGGATCGTATCGTTGGAAGGAGATTCTTAAATTCCCGTGGATTTCGCGTAAGTGTCTCTGCTTACGGGTCCACCCCACCGTTTTTGGCCCTTCATACAGCGATATTGTGAATTCAGATCGGTAGCTCAAATTGATCTTGCTATTAAGTGGAGCTGCATACAAGACAAGATCTTCGAAGGGATGGTGGCTACCTTACATACATACATACAATCGATCAGAAATATGGCTATGCATCGATAACAATGCTTCCGAATGTTGATTTTCAAGATACTATTGAAAAACTGGTAAATGTCCAGCATTGTCCAAAAGCGTCGAATTAACTAACAAATCCACCAATTACCTACATGCATATGCTGCTTTCCCAGCACAGTCGTCAGCGAGTAGTAAGTAGACGAAAAAAGTCGAAGTGGCATTCGCCTCCGATCCTCGGGCGCGTGCGGATAGGGAGGATGGAATTGCGTAATATTTTGCACACTCATCGCCATACTCAGAACCACACGCTCCCAACGACCACACTAATTACTGTGTGGTGGTGTTCGGTCGTCGAAATTAGTAGCATCAGTAGCAATGCTTACGGCGTGTGGCGTTGAAAATTGTTCTCCAGTAACAACGAAAGGCTGTCTGCAGAGCCCACATAAGCAACCATCAAAGGAGGAAGAAGCTGCACCGCTTTGCTATGGATCGGAATCAGTAGCTCTTCGTGAGTCGCTGCGGGTCGGTTATCTATGCCAAGCGTGTCACCCTCGCTCTAAGCGACATACAGCTCGACAGCCTCATCCGTGTTGAACACCCAGCTCAGAATTACTCAACCATCACTACAAAACGGTCCTTTTCAGGGCCACCAAAAATTTGTTAAAGAGTATTATTTGGACATTTGTCAAGGTCATCAGTTCCCGCAAGCAGCAAGCAGGCTCAACCTGGTCTCTATAGAAGGTATGGAATTGAAGGCCCGAATGAGTTGGTGAGATTAATCATCATCCGACCATTTTCCAGAACACGCTGGTGTTAAAAATCCATATATAATTTGAGAGAAGTGGGAATAATTCGCTTTGGGTGTATATTCAGGCCCCAGAAAGCCAATAAAATCAAATTTGTGAGAAAATTAGCTCTCACGAGTTCAATCTCTCGAAGTCCCTCCTTTTTTACATATTCTGCACAAACGATACTTTCCGCCCCGCCCCATTCATATAATTCGGAAGGAAATCCTGTGAGGGGTTAATTGAATACTCTTTAATACCAAAATGCACAAAACTTAAAAATTCATAAATAACAAAAAATTCAAAATACACATTTTAAAGTCGAGTAGATGAATCGAAAATACTCAAGTTGACAGTTCCTTGGATTCTCTTCATCAACTGTCTCTTTGAAATAAATACTACAAATTTGATACGCTTACAAATAAAAAACGGAAAGAGTTAAGATAATTGATTATTGAACGGCGCCGGTGGTGTAGTGGTAAGCGTGATTGCCTCTCACCCCAGCAGGCCTGGGTTCAATCCCAGTCGGCGCCGCCGGGATGTTCTGAGGCATAACATCTCTGATCACGCCTTCCTTCGGATGGGAAGTAAAGCCGTTGGTCCCCGGTTCATGAGTTGATGGGTCGATAGGTAGGGTCCAGGTGTGGGAGCTGCCTTCCTGGCACGTCGGTAGCATTGGTGCTCAGCACGGAAAACAAGATCGACGGAAAAAACAAACCAAAGGAAAAAAAAAAAATTGATAATTGATCAATTAAAAGAACAAAATGTTCACATTTGTTCCGTCCACTAGCGGTCCTACGTCAAGCTTCCGTTCGTGCCCCTAGGCACAGACCCTTTTACTTTTTGTAACTGTAAACATCAACCTGAGCTGGGTTTTAAACGCAAAGGATCAAACTGACGCTTTTTCCGAAAACAAGCAGATCCAATCTTGATACCCGATCCAGGTTGGAACTGAATAATAAACTAATTTGCTATTAATTTTAGCGAAGATATATTGAAAAACATTGCGTTTCCTTACGGTCTTCAAAGTAACGATTTGAAGTTTTCTTTGTTGATGGATACCAATGGTTACTTTGATTGCTAGCCACAATTCCAATATTTAGAAGGGAATTCCTATTTACGCAAGGATTTTTTATTGGTTTTGCTTTTTATGGATCCCTTGATACTTGGGCTTCGGTAATGTGGATACGATATGCGGTCAGCATCCTTATTTTTGGAGCACAAGCGTCACGGTATCCGAAAAAATGAATAGCTGCAAAATCTCTATCCATGAATAAGCATTCTTGACTGCAGGTAGTATATACGTGTTCATGCAGATATGAATTCTCACAATAATAATTACTGGTTATGATACGTTTGTATAACGCAGGATAAGACTTTTTCCTTGATACATCACAGCTATCGCCTCATCCGTGATTTTGGAAGGGGAATGACCGTCATAACCGTATTTATGCTCGAAATGAGATGACGGTCAATTTATATGTCTGTTTATTTTTCCTCGGTGATATGATGGTAACACATGGCAGATGTTAGTGATATTGCGAATGACTGAGAAAAGCAAAACAACGATATCTCACGGTTGTTGTGTCATACTGGTGAGAAGTTTTACGGAGAGAGGGTTCTCAGTTACTTTGATTGTTAACCGTAGGAACCTCTTTTGTCAATCTAAAAGCTGTCATTACCGTGATGCAACTCAGCACTGCACTACGCATATTCTTACGATTGAACGGATTCAGAAAAGCTTCATGAGGTTTGCTTTACGTCAGCTCCCATGGAATGATCCAGTCATTCTTCCCAGTTATCCAGACCGATGCATGCTGATTGATTTGGAATCTCTCTCAGCAAGACGTATCAAATTGCAACGACTGTTCATCTTCGACCTAATCACCGGCAATGTGGACTGTCCCGAACTCCTGGAACGGATTCCATGGAACATTCCTCCTCGTAGAACTAACTTTGGATTCAATATCTGTTTTAATTCAAGTTTGCGTTCCTTTAATGATGCTTGTAATGAGTTTGATTTTACTATGTCCAAAAATTTGTTTAGTAATAGAATAAGAGGTTTAGATTAAACAAGTTTTAGTTTTATGTAATCAGTCTGTACGACGTAGTCGAAGACGGTGTGCAATAAATAAATAAATATTCTTCATGAAAAATTTCTTCATTATAATCGCAAAACAAAAATCACCTTCCATACTCATTCTGAAACAATTTGTCTTGAAACAGGTTTATTCAAAAACATTTCCTCTTAGATTGTCATCGCCAAGCATCACATTCACTACTTGAGGACACCACTTATTCTCATCTCCCACATTTATCGTGTTCCACTAGGCATCATATTATTCATAATAATGCAACTTCGATTCCCAGCTCGCACGGGTTAACATCGACAGCAACAAGGACGACGACGACGACGACGAACGATCATGATGATAGTTTATGAATAATAAAAATTCAATTTCAACATCAATCTAAAGCATCTCCTCCACATGCAGCAAAATTCGCGAACAACTCTCGGCAAACATTCATAACCTTTCCCGTGGGTGCATCGCTTCACTGCCAGTTGCACGAAAGTTTTTATGCTGCTGCTGCTGCTGCTGCACCACATCCCCCAAAACGTGTTGCAACAGCAAACTGAAAATACCTGGCAAATGGGTTTTTGCATAAACTGTGAGCCCCACGAGCACTCATCCGGCATCCAGGAAATGCAATAAAATGGGGAAAAAAAAATCCCACACCGGCTCCCCGCTCTGCTAGTACAATGGATTGAAAATTCGATTTAACTCACCTTAAAAATATTCCAGTATAAAAACACCATTATGATACACGGTATATAAAAACTACTTAGCGACGAGTACACTATAAAATCACTGTTGTAGAAAACGCACAGATCGGGCACCCGATCGGGCGTATTGTTTAGTCCTAACACGATCGGTGACCCGATCGCCGCCGAGATGGCCCACACCAGCAGGATCGTCAGGCAGACCCGGCGGCTGTTTTTGTGCTTGGCGTACTTGATCGGTTGCGTCACGGCGATGTATCTGCAAGTGAGAAGAGAAGAGAACACAACATGAGACAAACTTGCTACATATAAGGTGTTGTACTATAGGTTATCGTTAGACGGCTGGGCTGAATTGGGTGCTGCTTTTGTGCAAATATTTTGATTGCCAGACATAGAGATTGTGTTGAGTAAACATCCATTCCGGTGGAAAATTGCCTTGCCCGGGAAAGTGATAAAGTGAAACACAATCCTACCCCGCCCCCCACCCTTCCGCTGTCGTCAACGAGTCGCTGAGTTGTTTTCAACACACTAGGTTAGTCTCGGAACAAACACATCGTTCTGGGAGGACGATGCGACTCAGCAGGAAGCTAACTGAACACGTGTGCCGTCACCCGCCGGGAAGAGAACAAAAACAACTCGAAATCCTTTTGATCGGTGAGACACGGAGAGCACGGCATGCATCGTATCACTACCCCAACCATTATTGAGGCCATTTGCATACACAGGTCGGGTAAAGTGGAGCGGTTGTTTCGGTCATGCTCAAGTTAATCCACTGTAACTAAGCTCGATGGATTGAAATTGCTCATATGCAAATACTAGCAGGAATATGGAGGAGCACGAGTCATTTTTTATTATTCTTGCACGCACTTCAATCCTTTAAGGCTCTGAACCATTTTGCGATTTTTTTTTAACTTTTGCTTAAAATTTGACAGATGAAAAGTTATCGATTAACCCTGCTATCCGAGCATGGTTATTTCTGACAGACAATAAGTTAAATTTTGACAACCGTGGCTCGAAAACCGGTCGATCGACAGCACAGGGATTTTCGAACATAGAAAATAACTTTCGCCAGAGGGCTAACGGAACAGTCGAAAAATACTTCAAGGAGAAGATGGGACAATATCTGGAAGAAATAGATAGAGCTCCGTTTTTTATTCGAAACCGCTCATAGACGTCTTATCAGCATTTATTCGGAGTTGTGACTGGAATTTGGACCCAGGGGACTACGTACTGATCCACCGGAAGATCCAACACATCCGTAAAAGTGGTCAATATTTCAATACACAAAACTGATCAGTGTTCCGTATTTTAGTTATTTTTTGACGAAGGACTACGTCTTTGATTTCTATATGGGGGTACACTTTGTGAAAACCGAAAATGGAACATGTAACAAATTAAGAAAGATTTTGAACGTTAATAACTCAGCTGACCCTGGTCCAATTTCAATAATTTTATCACCAATCGATCAGAAATATGGCTACGCATTGATAACAATGTTTCTGAATGTTGATTTTCAACAAGAAACTATTGAAAAACTGGTAAATGTCCAGCATTGTCCAAAAGCGTCGAACTAACTAACAAATCCACCAATAACCTACATGCATATGCTGCTTCCCCAGCACAGTCGTCAGAGAGTAGTAAGTAGACGAAACAAGTCGAAGTGGCATTCGCCTCCGATCCTCGGGCGCGTGCGAATAGGGAGGATGGAATTGCGTAATATTTTGCACACTCATCGCCATACTCAGAACCAAACGCAAATTCTTCAAGATAACTACCATCCATCGTCTGGCTCGCCGTGGCGGTGTCTGACGTATCTCCGGTCTGATTTACGAGGTGTGCTGAAGGTGTTTCTGAAAAATGAGATCCGTGATGCTGTCACCTACACTAAACACGCCAAGCGTTAGCGGCCATGGATGTCATCTACGTTTTGAAGTGACAGAGACGCACTCTGTTTGGTTTTGGAGGTTAAATCATCACCAACATTGGAAACAAAACGGCTCTTTTTAGGGCCACCAAGCTTATTACAGTAAAGAGTAGGAATAGAATTCATCTGCCTGTTTGTCCATATTCAGAACCACCGACCACACAAAATGCTCATGTAATCAAATTGGAAGCAGGGATACAAATTATTTTGATCAACCTTGATCAACTTTGAATCGCCACGGCCGGATATTTTCGATGGAAGAAGCAACAATCTAGCATCTAATTCGACGAAGACGGCAGGAAACATTTCTGGATCAACAATAGAATAGGCCATCAGCATTTGTAAACAAACCGTTCCAAAGCCTCACCAATCGAAGGCCGCTCACACAAACCAACACCAACATCTTGTAGGTGAAGTTTCCCGTATCCGATGATGGTGTTGGTTTGTGTGGGTGGCCTTCGCTTTGTGAGTAAAGGGCTTTGGAACGGTTTGTTTACAAATGCTGATGGGCTCTTTTCTATTGTTGATCCAGATTTGTGAAGCCGAGTTATTTACGAATGAGAGTGTCGATGAAGAGAATCGATCAATGTAGATAGGACCTATTGCAATTTGAGATTTGTTTTCCGTACTGAGCTCCAATGCTATCGACGCCAGGTAGGCAGCTCCCAGAGATGTTATGCCTTAGAACATGCCGGTGGCGCCGACTGAGATTGGACCCAGGCCTGCTGGGGTTAGAGGTAATCACGCTAACCACCGGCGCCGATATCTATCACGGCGAATGAGAACGACCCAAATTTGAGTTTAGTTATCTCAGAAATAAGAAATAAAGTGCAGGAACAATTTGCCTCATGTTTTCCCAGGTTATTCCAGGATTTTCCAGGGAAAAATTCCCGAATTTGAGAAAAGTAAAGATTGGATTCACTCAGTCTATTGATACTACTCCGAGACTGAATAAACTTTTCGTCAATTTCCTCATTTTCTGGCAGATTTTTAAGATTTTCCACAGGAAATCATGAGACAAATTTACTCATCGCTGAGTTCCTACACTTTTGGCGATCATGAGTGAACTAAACTCAAATTTGGGTCGTTCTCATTCGCCGTGTACGCAAAAAGAAAATAGCCAGTGTCGCTACTTGATAGCAAACTACTCATAATGGGAGGAGTCTTTGTAGCTTTTATACCACTTGGTTGCACATCATTCTGCTTTAACCTAAAAAGATATAAAGCAGCGCTGCTGTCTGGTATCAGCTATCTGAACAAGGAGATTGCTTCCAGAATGGTCTCACTCCGGAACGAAAGCTTCGGGCGGCTTGTCCAGAATCTGGACTACCGCTCCAGACCATTCTGGAAAGTTGCCAAGGTCTTAAAGACGCACCCTAAACCCATTCCGCCACTAAAAGATGAAAATGATGACGATCGGCTCATAATCACCCCTCAGGAGAAAGCAAATGCGATTGGTGAGCATATTGCCAAATCGCACTTGCTTGGCTCCAACATCCAAAGTCCGCTCGAAGTTCAGGTTGAGCAATGCGTACTCAACTTTGATTCCTCCCCTTGTGCCATCCCTCCGGAGGATAGAATCACAGTGGAACAGATTTGCTCAGCGCTGAAATGCACCAAAAACATGAAGGCCCCCGGGTTTGACGGAATATTCAACCTAGTGTTGAAAAATCTCAGCATGAAGGTTCACTCTCTGCTGGCTGCTGTCTTCAACAGATGCTTGGAACTGCACTACTTTCCAAGCATCTGGAAGACAGCGAAAATCATACCTATCCGCAAACCCGGGAAGGACCCAACGCTAGCTTCAAGCTACAGACCAATCAGCCTCCTTTCAGCGCTGAGCAAATTGTTCGAGAAACTCATTCTCAATCGTTTGCTCAAGTTTGTCGAGGAAAATAACATTCTCCTTCCGGAACAGTTTGGGTTCAGAAAGGGGCACTCCACCAATCACCAGCTAGTGCGGGTGATGAATAACATCCGAAGTAACAAAGCTGTATCCAAGTCCACAGCCATGGCCTTGTTAGACGTTGAGAAAGCGTTTGATAATGTCTGGCACAATGGGCTTGTATACAAGCTCTGTAACTTCAACTTTCCATTACATCTGGTTAAAATCACCCGTAGCTACCTCCAGCAAAGGTCGTTTAAGGTATCGTTGAATGGTTGTCTTTCAGACACGTTTTCCATCCCTGCAGGAGTCCCGCAAGGCAGTCTGCTGGGCCCCTTGCTCTACAGCATTTACACTTCCGACATTCCTCCCCTTGGAGACGGTTGCGTGTTTTTCCTGTTCGCAGATGATACCGCAATAGCCGTCAAAGGAAGGATGCCTCGCGAAATAACGAACAAACTTCAACGATGCCTTAACGCCTTTGCTGATTATGCCACCACGTGGAAAATCAAAATCAATGCTTCCAAAACACAAACAATCATGTTCCTCCATCGACAATCACCCAAACTAAAACCGGCTTCCTCTTGTACTGTAATCATGGATGGCACAAGGGTTGAGTGGTCCGCCGAAGTAACCTATCTCGGGATGTTGTTTGACGAAAAGCTTCTATTCCGCTCGCATGTGGAGAAAACCGTAGTCAAGTGTTCCGCCTTGGTTAGGTGTCTGTATCCGCTGATTTGCCGCAGATCCCGCCTCTCAAGGGTGAACAAACTGGCCGTCTACAAACAAATCGTAGCACCTGCGATCCTCTACGCAGCTCCGGTGTGGGAATCATGTGCACAGACTCACAGGAACAAAATTCAGGTCGCTCAGAATAGAGTGCTGAGGATGGTTCTTGATCGTCCTTTTGACACTAGAATAACAAATTTACACGAAGAGGCAGGCATTGCCAAAATAGATTCCAAAATTAACGAAATTAAGACAAAATTTACACAAAAATGTAATTTATCAGAACATGCTTTGATAAGCAATTTGTATATAGTAGGTTAGGTGTACATAGTAGTTGTAGGTTAGTTGTAGTTGTAAATAGTAGTTATAAGTAGTCTCCCTTTTCCAATTCAAATCAAACCAATCCCACCAAGGTGGTCATACTTTAAAATAGGCCTGATAGGACTAGGAACTGTAAATAATAATTAAAATCTCAAATGTACCAAAGTTGAAAAGACGCATCTGTGTCACTTAACAAATTCATACATGTAAACCACACAATCACAAGAAATAAAGATCATTTAAATGGCAAAAATGGCTGGTATCAGCTTATTTTCGCTTCGGACGGCGTGGTCAGCAATAGCAGCTGTAGGAAGGTGGCTAGTCCACTTTTCTATAACCAACAATCAACAATTGACTGGTCGTGGCAAAGGAGGTGCCAATCGTCATCGCAAATTCTTTG